CCCCTGTGCTGTGATAATTCATGTGATGACCGAATCCCAAATTACCCAGTTTGATGTAAATCTGTGTATGTCTCCTCTGTGTGGCCACTCTTCCAAGAACACTGTTTTCACTATTTTCAGCCTCTATCAGTGTATTATAACATAAACAGGAGAGGAAGAGGTTTTAGATGAGTCAGGTGGAAACAAAAGTTTCAGCAATAACTCCCTGCCCTGTGTCACTGGATTTCAGGTCAGGGCATTTCCTCCAGTCTTTCTCTAACTGGAGCAACTTTTTCATGGTTTTCTTTGCATTAAGTCAACCAAATGAAATTCTTCATCTCCCCAGAGACTCCAGTTCCTGCTCTGTCCCTCCATGCCTGTCCCTTCCTGCAGCCCAGAAGCCCCCTGTGGAACACACACTGCAGTGGTACCACCGCTGCAGGCTCCCACCTGCCCCAGTGAGCAGTGGTCAAGCAAAACATTGAAGTACATTAGGTGCAACTTTCCAAATAAGTTCCTTTGTGGCTTGATCATAATGTGATATGCTCTGCTTACACTTTTTCTGTGAGATGGCATCCATGTGATTAAGGAACTTGAGATATTTTTCCAGAGTGAAATGGTTAATGGAACGTAAATCTCACTGAAAGTGGGCAAAGCATAAAATCAACTTGTCTACTGTGTCTTTTCAAAGTGCAGCTTAAAGTAGGTAATTCATTGGCTATTTCACCTCTTGTTGATCGTGTAATTCTTCAAGTTTTCCAACAGATGTGCTTAGGGAAAGAAGTGAAATTAAGCAGATACTCTTTTTCTGGTGCTTTTGCAATTCCTTCTCAGTTAGGGAACTTGGTGGAGTAAGTGAATGCTCTCTCTGAAGACGCTCAGAACAGGGTGGCTGTACCCATATTCCCCATATTCCCCATGTTCCTCATCCATATACCAGTATGGGGCAGCCAGCATAGGAATACTGGAGTCTACTTTCAGTGTGGGCTAGGAACATATGATTTAACACCTTCTCTCAACTTCAGCACACACCCAGAGTGAGAGGTATGAGGACACATCATGGCAATCACAATGCCTGCAGGAACAGCAAAATCTAGGGTTTTATATACATCAACATGCATTTGTTCAGGATTGTAGTTAAAATTTGCAGCAAATTAGAATGAGTGAGTTCTGCTCTTCAGAGGTGTCCCACCTAATCCCAGACTGCACTCAGGAGCCACATTTATACATTCTCTTTGTAGAAGAAAGCTTGTTAAAACATGAACTCAAGAAGAAAATACTACTTTCTTCAGAATGCACTAGAAAATCTTTTTGTGAATCATCACCATCAGTTGCAAGTTTATATTCCAAGCAGAGTTGTAAGAAAAAAAAGGAAAATATGATAAATGCTACTTGGGTACAGGAAAATGTACTGCAGAGCATGGAAATTATAGTAATTCAGATACCAGGAGGTCAAGCATCAATCTGTAAGTTTTAGTTGCACCAGATTAATGAAGCATCTGTGGTGTTTGCCCAGATTCACTTTTCCATTCAGCAAGTTATCACTTACAGCATTCTAGCCAAAAAGGTTAAAGATATTCTATTAATGCTTCTTTTTCACATTATTCTTGTAACCTATGTTTATTTAAATGGTGTTTTTATTTTTTTCATTTTCCCTGCAGCTTGAAGAACAGGTGTTCAGATATAGCTCCAAGCTGTCAAAAATAAAACTGGCAATGACTTTTACAGACTCAGGGCTGAGGAAATATAAGTTGTAATTTTGAAAAATTAAATGCCACAGAGAATTTGTTAGACCACATCATGGTTGCCTAAAGGATATTTTAATTTAGATTTCATCATAAACACAAAATGGGATTGTGATTATGGTTGGGCTGATAGTGGAGACTTGGACTTTGGTCTTTTGTCTTGCATTTCTTTGCAAATTTAAGGAAAACACAGCGGATCAGAACCTGTCAAGATCGCTTTTGATCCCTTCCTAGAGGCCTAGTCAGGGGTGCACTCACTCTAGAGAGACCCCTTAAATAACCTGCTGAGGGAAGACCATATTCTTATGTAGCATCTTCCACTTTGCCCCCCTGACTGAATGGGAAATATTGACCTATGGGGTCAATTTTCTCATTGAGCAGCAATGTGAGTTTATTGTGCAGCTACTTCTCGGTATCCTACAGAGATGTACTGGAACAGTATGAGTAGATGAACCCTGCTATTTGTACCTGGGTCTGTAACAGAAAGTACTTATCCAGCTATCTGTTCCTCTTGGGAAGTTCCCACAGGCCAAGTTTTTCACTCCTCAGTTGAGTAAATTTGTGTAGATTCAGGAGGAAGTTCTTATCAGAACTAAAGAAAAGAGAAGCACAGTGAGTTGTGTTGGTAAACATGAAAAAAAAGAAAAATAATCTTTGAGTACTTTCAAAGAAATCACTGCTTCTTGCAAGCTGAATCACCAGCAGGTGCTGGCCTACCTTATGGATTTATCAAGAAGAATGAAACACATAATGTACCACCATTCTAACAAGGTATTTTTCAAAATACCTTCAAAAATTCTTTCCGTGAAACCACCAAGTGACAGTAAAATAATGAGTACATTCTATTGTTGCCTAAAGAAAATAAAAGATAAATAACCAAAGGTTACAGACTCTTGCTTCATATCCAGCTTTTCCAGCATTTCAAACTACTCCAACACAGTATAGCACAACTAGTATTAGGAGAATTAGAACTGAATAAAGAATTACTAACAGACCATGAGACCAACTGATAAATAGTTGGGTTTTTTCCCTTGAAGGGCTTTGTATAAGCACTTGATTATTAACATCAGAAGGAATTGCCTAGTGCAATCTAAAAACAAGTGCTACTAGCTGCAGTCATACAGCAATAATTGAGCACACAGTGCTTCTTTCAGTGTTTGGGAAAACAGAAGTGACTTAGAACACAACAAACAGATAGGCTGATGCAGCACTCTTGGGAATAAAGAAAGCCAGGAGATGAGATACCTACTAGCAAAAATCTGTCCAGCTGCTTACTTTTTTGCTCACATAACCTGGGAATTTCAGTGCTTCTGCTCAGAAGTAGCAAAGAAGTAATTGCACAGATCTACCAGGAAACTGCCTGTATCAGGCCCAGAAAAGGCCAGCACGTGGAACTTCAGTCAGTTCCTCCACAAAGAAGCAAAACTCACCCCGCCATGCTCCTGGAGAGATGGATTTCCTGTGCTTTATGTTCTGAGTTGTGTCTCTGCATTCTATGTATATTGTATTACTGTGTGCAACCACTATGAAAGTGTCAAAAACAAGAATAGTGAAGTTCCAACTGAAAAGTGGCACTGAAACTACTGAGAAAACTGAAAGAAGGAGGTTATGTTTCTCATCAGCTGCAGAGCCAGAAGCTGCTGACACTGAAATGTGCCAAGGAAACAGGGACACTGAGAAGCCTAATTGGAATCATCGCTTACCATCACATACCTGTGCTAGCACAAACATAATGGAAATGTAGCAGCTGCACAACACCAGGCTGGTAATTCCTCAGTGAGCCATCTTCCAGGGAAAATAAGACATGCACTGCAGAAACTGACTGAAATGTCTTACCTAACCTCAGAAATGAGGACACAACCTGCTCTTCCTGGCTGATTAGAAGTGATTAGTTCTCCCCAAATCAATACACATGCTGTACACAGACACCCTCGTCTCTTGACCACAACACCCTAGGGGGCTGTACCAGACCCAAACCAGTGAATTCTTTCAGCAGCACGTGATGGGCTTTGCAGAATGCTGTTATTCTCACTGCATGCCTGCTTCCACAACAAAGCCATAGAAAATGAGTGAACTAACACTGTGCCCATCAACAGAGCAGCATTTCCATCCCCATGCTGCCTGTGCAATACACTGGACCACCAAGACACTGCACAGACTTCAAATGCTCTCCAGTAAAACCCCATAAAGTCAAAAAACCCCACAGAAATGAGCAGCCTCTGGAAATAGGGACAAACTGAGATTCCGAAGGCAAACAGCAGAGACAAATTAGTTACAGCAGGGAATTACTGATGAAATACAAAGGTAATTTAAAATTCCTGCTCCTGCCCCTGCTGCCCCTCATCCCCATGTTGGTTTTGGGTTTTTTTTTCCTTTACAGAATGTCTGATATTTTAGATAAAGTAGAACAATGAAACTCAGAAGAGAGTACAAAAATTATTTGCTAGGAAAGAGATTATGTGCTCTTTTGGAGCACAAATTGCTGATTTTTAGGATTACAATCTTTTTTGTCTCTTAATTGTCTATAAAAGCCAAAATTAACTGCCAATCTGCACTGAGGGAAAGGAAAACTAAATCTTAGATCTTGATAGTTCATGTAATCAAATCTCATTTTGTGAATTGTCTATGTTCTAAAATGCGTCAGTTTTATAAAGTAAATTTCCCATACTGAGAAAAAAAAAATGTTTCTTTTGTTTCTTCTCTTGATTTTGGGTATAAATCATGCTGCTCTGTAACTTCAGTGTGTGCTAAGTATAAAAATTCCTATAGTGAGATCTTTTTCCAAGGGCTGTCAAGCAAAATCTGAAACTATTAACAACTGAATGCTTTGAAAATACTGGGAAAATACTTTGTGATGGTGGAAACAATCATATTCTCAAAGAAGGAAAATGCAAATTTACTCTTGTCCATTTCAAGTTAAAAAACACTATTGTTACTTTGCATTTTTTTTTTTTAACATATATTTTTCCATTTTGTGTATGATGTTTAAACCATAATTTTACCAAGATCCACATATATGTATTAGCATTGTATGGACTTGCATCCCTTGTGCCATGGTACCAGTGACATGCCAGTATTATGTCTATGTGGTAAGTGAGGCACTCTGAGAAACCATCATCAACTATTTTACATTTGTCTGACAGGTACCACCACAACTTCTGTTCCACAATAGACATGGGGTCATCACCATATTGATCCCTCCCACATTAAATACCTGCAGAAAGCAAAAACCTCAGGAGATGCAACTATTTTTAAAAGACTAAACATTCAAGATTATGTATTTACTTATATTTATTTTTTTAACTGTATTTTTCTAAAACATATTAAAATAGAAAAGATGTTCATCTGATTCATACAAAGAAAATACCAATAATAAAATAAGTAATAAAATACTGAAAATATATGAAAGCACCAAAACATTAAAATATTCATATTGGCAAAGACTCTAAGAATATATTTCTGGTAATTTTACAGTAAAGTGCTATTCAATCCACTCAAATTAAGGAATTGGAATTTTAATAGCATGGTTATTATTATCTTAAGGTTACAAATTACTTTGTTACTTTTCTCACTAAGACAACAACCCATTTTGTTGGAAGCAAAGCATTTGAGTTGCATGCACATAAAAATAACCCAAGCAACAGCTTCGTTATAAGCAGTCAACAATATAAATTGCCAAATCATTAGGAATACAAAATACTGAGAAACAAACTAGGCAGAAATGAGATTAGTGAAAAATTAAGAAAAAAGCAGATGTGGTAAACCATTGTATAAATTAAGAGAGGACAGAAGACTGTGCACCAAACATTTCTGTAACCTTACTTTTTACATGGCATTTTTTTAGTCATCATATTGCTGTCTTTATTAGTTATTATTTTATTAGTTTATTATTTTAAACTGCCCTTTTCTATTTCTTTGCAATGATCCTACATCACCAACATACTGTAAGCAAAAAGACAGAAGCAGAGTATGACCTTTATTTTTCCTTAATAATTACTTCTCATCTATTGAAGTCAGCAGACAAAACAAATAGATATGTTACAAAGCCAATTTGTAGCAAAAATTAATTTGAGCAACATAATTATTTTAAATTTTTTAATCTCTTAAAGAGTGAAAATTTTAAATATATGAAAGATACCATCAGTCTCCTTTTAAGTTTTTATCATTTTAATATACATATTTACAACAATGAGTACAAAGAATCCTTGTTAGCAAAGTTCTTTCTAGCTTCATGCACCATTTCCACAACAATTTCTGTGAAATGGCAGATATAATACTTTTGTTGTCTTCAAGTGTATTTAATCTTCCTGATTTAACTTGCTTTTTTCATAATTTCATATGTAATTTAACCATATTACACAACTCAGAGTACATTCTTACACTGACTATTTAACAGCCTTTTTATGAACCAATAATAGGCCATCACAGTGAAGAAGTCAGCTCCCACACTCCTGTAATTTGAATACAAGTTACTTTTCAAGAAAAAAAAGAGAATAGGAAGAGTGTCTTATCTTGTGCGTATATTACTTGGTAAGAAATGTTTACAATAATTTTTTCATTTAGAAGAAGCACAAAAATAAGGAATTTAACCAGTGAGAGCAATGAGTCTGAATTACCAAAGTAGTTACTAACAACAAATATCTTCCTTTATGTGCATGTACGTACACAGATTATATAAAAAATCCATCTGTACTACGTAATTTCTGTAAATTTTCCTGGATGAAGAGATTAACCTTGGAACACACTAAGTTGACTGCTTGCATTTTCTATGGGAGTGATTAAAAATGTAAGAATGAATATGATGAAAAGAAATGAAATATCATATTTAAAGTAGTTGAATAGAGGGGAAAAAAGCACAACAGTCTCAAATAATGTTGTATTTGGTTTCCTCCTTCCAGTTCAGTGATTTTTATTGAGTTGTACAGTGAAAAGCAGGTCCTAGCTTTAACATCTTCCTCATGCCCTATTGTAAGTGTCAACTTAGACAACAATTTCAGTAATTTTGTTTGCTGGTCATTCATTTCTTCTATCTTTTTTTTCCCCCAGTAAACTGTTCCTTGTTCATTGTTGTAGGCTCATAAACCTCATTTTGGCTGTTACAGAATCCAAGTGCAGCACTGCAATCTTCTTGACTCCAACAAACTGTGATAGGCAGCAGCACATCCAGGGCACAGCAATTCTTTTTAGCTTCTCTGGGCATAGGCCAGGTAGAAGCAGAAGGCAGCAACAGTAACTGATAGCAGTGATAAAACAACTGACAGCTGCTGGAACCAGAGGCAGTGATTCATCTGCTCTTCAAGTCTTCTGTTAATCTGCAGTAAATGAGTTAGCTGAAAATAGATCAGTTTCATTAAGTTAGAATTACTGCACTTGAAAGTACTTGGCAATTTTGAGCTATTTTGGCAATAAGAATAACCACAGAAAAGAAAAGAAAAAGCCTTCTCTCAGCGCTCCCAGCAATGCCTTTTCTACCACTACATACTTCAGGTATCTGTTTCACTAAAGGAGCTTCAAATCTTAAGTTATGGATAATCAATATGGCCTGCATCAAGCAGATGACACCCTTACAGTCAGAAGCAAAAGATACCACTGATACTCACTGATATGCCAGATCTGTATATACACAAGAAGAATGAGCAAACTACATTGAAAATTTAATGATTAATAAATCATTATCATTAAAAAAAATAATTAAATCACTATCACTGATGCAGTTACTTTCAATTGCTGAGATGTTCAAATAGTATAATTTACAAAATACCAAAGAAGAGGGCTTACTACTTTCTATGACATGACACCTAAGCCTGTAAAAAGGAAACAGGAACACACACCAAAAAACACAAATTTAATGCAACATTGTATAATTCAGAGTAAACAATCCATCTTAAGTTGATAAAGTCCCTGCACTTTTAAAATTAAAGAGACAATAATTATAATTACACTACATTTAGTTTAGGTTTACCAAAAAGTAAAGGTCAGGTTTGCATTCATCAGTAACTAATGTACACAGCATACTTTTAATTAAATAACCTCTATTGTTTCAGGATCTCTCTTAAAAAAAAACCCAAATAAATTGCACCACTTATGCAAGGAAGCTTAAGGTCACTCACATGACGAAGATTTTATTCAAAAGGGAAGTAAGGGATAAGCACTTGAAGCAAACACAGAACAAGATTTAGGCATCAAGACTCACAAAATACTTTTTCCAGAGTAGTTTCGGCCATGAGGGGGTAAAGGCAGTTCCAAAAACAAAACAACAGAAAAACTCCAGGAACAATCTAAGGCAAAAAGCCAGTCAAAACTGTAGGGAACTTTTCCTAGACATGTTCAGTGATACCACCCAATGTGACTGGATGAGAGAGAACAGCAACAGGTGCATTTAAAAAAGTGTATGGTGAAATGTATTTTTCTAGATTACTTTTTTATCACTAAGTATCAAAAATACACATATGTACATGTGATAGGTTTTACAGGAATTTTCTAGAAAATTCTGGTTTTCCCAAGTATAAAATAAACATTTTTAATATTGTCTAGAAAATAGTTTTGTATTTACTATGTCTGCTTTTCTTGACTGCTTCCTTTTAGAAAACTCAAGAGACACATTCTTATCAGAAAAAAACCCCTATTGTCCATGTGTATTGTCACATGCAGTCATATTTTTCTACTTAACTCTTAATCAGCACAAGAACAACAAGAAAAAAAGAGCATGTCCAAAACACCATTTTATACATTAAGCCCACATTTAATCAGTTAAAACAGAGCAAAAGTCTCTGTAATGTATTTTTGGTCTGTAACCACACAAGTGAGTTTGGAGAATCCTTCATTGATTGTGATTACACAAGTGCTACAAATCACCTAAATAATAAAAGCTAAAAAACTCCAAACTCCTGTTACCAGAAAACCATATGCTTACCTATGTTCCATCACTTTGGTCCTAGGGACTTCTTTCCAAAACTGAGTCAGTTCTGGCACACCTGCTCCAGAAGACTGGTCCATTTCTGCTGCCATTATAAGGAAACGATCCTGCAAAGAAGCTGCAAAACCTGCCCTCAAGGAAGACCAAAAAAAAATACAACAGTGTGCTTAGATAAAATGACAGTATTACAAGGATAGAAGTATTTTGCACAAAAGTGCCATAAAATGAGAACTTTTTTATTGCAGAACACCAGACACTGACTTACTAGAAATAAAAATAAGGAAATAATTCTCTAAAGTTCAGTAATTCTAATTACAGTTTTTCCAAAATTATATGGGTTCATTTTAACAGAACTAGTTTCATCTGAATAGTTCAAAGACAACCCTAAATTTTGTAAAGAATGTGTTCTCCAGCAGATTCACCTGTCCTTGCAACAATTTAGGAAACTGATTTACTGCAGATAAACTCCCACTGTAATAATGAACCAACGAGACAATTGCCACTCAGACTTTTTGTTTTTTAGGACAAGAAACAAAATGGGTTGCAGACAACAGCTGCTTATGCCTGAGTGGAGCAGTAAATCAGTACAGGCAGTTACTCAAATCCTTTCTGACATCTGTGTTTTTTTAACAAATGGTACCATTCTCAAACGAGAGTCAAGCAGACATGGGCATCAGTCAGTCCTACACACCAGCAAGCACAGCCAACCATCAGTGTCTAGAGCATGTCGAGTAATGCAACCTGCCCAGATCTCTTAAAAACTCTATTTTACATTTTTACTTACCACCATGAAGAGAAACTATTATATCTAATGATGTGCCAGGCTCACAGCTGCTGTTACTGGGTTTAACCCTATATTTTTCAGGTGCAGTTGTTCTCACCTATAAACAAGAAATATGAAGGATACAGTGAGCAATGCACAAACTATGATTGCTTCATAACTTCTCTCATTCTGCAATAAAATCAAAATTTTATTCTAATTCTAATTAATTCTAAATCCCCAAAAGCTTGACTAGTACCATGAGTCTCTAAAATACATCATTTTGTAGGCACAACAGGACTCTTGCATATTCCTTTCTCCTCCCTCTCAGCTGCATTTGTCCTTTGTTTTCTTACATTTGCTATTTTTTTCTTGAATATGTATTTGAGACCAGCCAAGAACATGTTACAATAAATATGAAAATATGAAAACTTTAAGTTATTTTAATGTACAGAGAATGCAAAAGATGAGAAAAACCCCACCAAGATGCAAGCAAACTCCATATTTCTGAAGCAAATATAACTACTAATTCCTTTGATATTGACATTTGCAGATGGATCTGCATCATCTTGGAGCATTACTAACTTGTTTCCAGCCAATATTTTAAAATAAACATTCTAAAAAGATGACTTTTCAATGCTCAAGACTTTCTTTTTCAAGAAGTATTACTTTCACTAAAAAACTAACCATCACTTCAGCTCTTTTTTAGTCAGTGCTCCAAAGATCTGTAATACTAATTATCCCTTCTGAGGTGGTACATCACAGGCATAAAATCAGCTAGATTTCTTTGATCTGCCTCAAACATCACTATACAATAATTTTTTTTTGTCTGTAAAATGGATTTAATAGTATTCTTCCTCCTTATAGAAAAAAAGAAAAAGTTACACAGTTAGTAAACCAAGCCACACATAAAACACTTACTTTAAAAGCCACTACATTTTTAGTGACGTTTGTGAGAACTATCAAACATTTTTTCTCTCCAATTTCTTTGGATCCAAAATACAGCTCTTCTGCTGGGCTAATAGGAAATATAAAAAGAGTTAGTTTCTTCAGATTATCTTTACAATAGATCAGAGAAAAAAACCTGACCACACCTCCAGGAAAATGAAATACTTTTTACCCTGCAGCTACAGTCAGCATAAACAGATTTTCATCAAAAAAAAGCTATGAAAACAATAAGCAGAAATTTTGTAGTGAAGCTTAGGGTTGACTCATGACAAGCAGAACTGGCTGCCTCAGCTGATTGCTGCCCTTGACTTTTGCCATCTGTAACAGCAGGAAGCCAACAGGTACACGGAGTCAGCCACTGCATCTTTGGGCAGTGTGGTAAGGGAAAGCATCACTGATTTATGCTTATGTTAAGGAATATAGGGTGTCACAGGGAGTAATTTCCACCTTGAACATCTATCCTTGTCATGGATATAGTGCACACATAAGAGAAGGCAGCCACAACTGGCAATCAATTCAACTATGACAGCTGAATTCACTTGTCCTTATGAGTCAGTCTTCACATACTTGTGGTACCACATGCATAAATAAAGTTATTGCTTGTTTTAAATATTCTTGTGCAATTAAGAGAGTCATGCATGAGATACTTTAAACCACATCAAACTAACACAACTCATTTTGGATAAGCATTCAAATCAACACTGGTAGGTAAAAGGTAGGGCATGCTCATATAATACAAGTTGAAAGGAAACTTGAGTAGCAAGGGAAGAACTTTTCTTTCATTATGTCACGAGGAGCACGCAAAGAACTGCTGTTCTACTCCGTGCTACTGAACTGCATATTCTTTTTCAAAACACGTGATTTTTTTTCCCCATGTCCTCTTTTTGCAATGCCAATTTCATGTTAGTTTGACCTCCTCCTCAAAAGACTTCCTTTTATGGTCCCAATCCTTCCTTCTTCTCCCACTTAAACCAGTGTATGAGCTGAGAAGAAAAACCCTTGGCACTGTAGGGCAAGTGTGAACGCCCATGCCGGAAGCAGATTGTGGTGGTGACTGTGATGTTGGGGTGCTGATGTTATAAAATGCATCAGCCAGTCCACATGACAAGACTACTTTTTGTGGTGGGGATAAGGAAGTGTGCCAAATGAGGCAGAAACCAAAAAACTGATGGGTTTGGAACAGCTAAATTAAATAAAATAAATTAAACGAGATAACATTACTCAGCCTCAAAACAAGCCACAAACATGATCAAGGGAAGGAACATTCTGCTAGAGCCTGATCTTTCTTGTTCTACCAACTTTGACCATTGAACAAAGGGAGAAAAAAAAAGCTTGGGGACTACATGTGTATGGCTTTTGTCTGTGAAATCAAGTTCCACAGCGTTGGGGGCAGGGGGCATGTAGCTATTAGGAGGGCAGATTGTTTAAACAAACACCCAAGCTTTTTAATTTTTACAGATGCAGGAATTTCTTTACTCTGATGTATGTGACATAACCAGCTTGTACTAGAAATCCCTGTACCACAACACACCACGAGCTGCTCTTCCACCAGAGTGCAAGGAAACTGCTGCTTTTTGTCTGACCAAACAAATTCATTTATTGAGGAGGAAAGTCAGAGGCAGTCTTTCATTGTAAGGTATACAAGGCAAATACAATTGTGGTCGAAATGAGGGAGTCAGCTGACTCATGAGCATGACTGAAAATACAAGAAACAAGAGAACAAGGACCCAGTTTTGGCCCATGATTTTATGCTGCCAGAGCTGCAGTGCCTCAGCTGCGTGCTCAGGCTCCAGGCTGCTCCCTACAAAGGACAATGCTGGGAGATGAGCAAGGATGCAAGTTAAGCATGGTGGCAGAGCTTATGGTCTCTGTGATAGGTGCCTACAGCTAGTTATGAATGGCACTATATAATTATTGGTTCAATCACTTTCAGTTCTATGTCCTGAGAATCAGTGGAAGAAAATTAAAACTAATTCTAGCTTCTACAGAGGGAGAGCATTAATGAAGAGCAACAGCTGCACTCAGGATTTTACTTTAAAACAAAACAAACAAACAGCAAGGACAATGGAGAGACCAGTATTTTATTTTCCACTGACAGCAAGACTACAAATACTAACACCCCTATACTTGACTAAATTTACTCTTCCATGTGTTGCAGTCCATGTTAAGTTACTTCTATTCAATGACAGCTTCAAGTATTTTAAGAGGGAAAAAAGGAAGTTTCTGAGGGTGACAGCGGCGTTCTGCGTGTTTGCTTTTTTTTTTTTTTGTTCTTGTCTGCTTATGATTTGTGTCCCTTTTTTAATTAAAAAGTCCTTTTTTAATTAAATTTAATTAATTAAGGAAAAACACATCTAGCACTTGTGATTGTCACAGAAAATGTTTAACATTCTTTTATAATCACAGTTCTGCAATCTACGCCTTTATGTTGCTATACAAGAAATTAACGCTATACAGAGGAGGTTTTTAATTTCAAATTAGGAAAAATTTACACATACAAAAGTATATTTATGCTAATGAGCATGTCATTATCCAAATTAACTCCAAAACTAGTTCACTATAGAACTTAAAAAGTTAGCTGAGAAATTACCTAAAAATTAGATATTTTCTTCATTCATCTAATAGCAAACTGAAAGTGAAAATAAAAGTTAACATCTAAATCAAATTCTAAACAAGCATCTTAACCTAAAAGGCAGTAGAAAAAAAAGTGATATTGGCTAATTGATTTCTTTATTCTAATTTAGTGATAAAAATAACTGGGAGATGTAGCACCTTGGATGACAAAACTTCCAGGTAGGTATGTCATTGTAGAGCCCTTTCTACACAAAATAAATTGGACTCATTCATTAAGGTTAACTGGTGGAAACTATCAGTGTAGACATTTATAGCATCATAAGCCAAAAGAATGCAAGCATGATTTAACAGTGAAAACTGTCTTGAAAAAACATTGGTTTTCCTTGAGCCAATGAAATCAAACAATGTCAAACCACTGCTCTCATTACAAATAAGGACAGGCTTAACTTAGTCAGATGGTTTCTCAATATAAACAGAACACTCCTACAATTCTATGAAATATGCACCTATTCATACAAAAAGTATGCCAATCTTTGGTGACACCAGAAGATTCACTAAAAACGTGTAAAATCAGAAAAACTGTTTGAGCTTTGTAAAAATCCTTCTTAAAAACTTGTTTATAATTTGTTTTCCTATAAAAATCTGAAAAAGTTTATTTTGAAAACTAACTAGTTCAGTACTCAAGTGTCCAAGGCTTATTCTTTTCTTAAAAAGAAAATTAAAGAAAATTATTATTACCTGATATGTAATAAAGGTCCTTTAAAAGTGGTTAATGCTTTCTTTGCAATTTTTGGTTTGACCTCTGTTTTGTCAGTTTCCTCTGATTTGGAAATTTGTTCTATAGAATTCATCTGAGTAAAAACGATAGTTATAATGATTAACTAGAAACCCAAATTACATGTTACAGAATCAAGCAGGTATTACAAACAATATGATGAGGCTTATTTCAACAGTTTATATATTACAGACCAAGCTTTAGATATATTCATTCCCTGAAGGTGCTTGAAGTCCACTAAATAAAATTATTTACTATAGAAGTTACAAAACACATTAAACAAACAGCTTTGGTTTTTTTCCACATATTTTCCTGCTTCTCAGGTCAGTTTTTGGATACGCTTAGCAGAGTTTAGCACTTCAATTATCTAATATCATAAAGCACTGGTATTATTCATCCATTGCAAATTAAAATTAAAACAGATGCCCCAGTACAATCACTGTACCACTCTAACAGAAAACACAGTACCAATTCCACACTTCATTGCAGGGTAGCTAAACATATCTTCATTGCTCATAGATGAAACTCCGAAGTATTGCAGAATATAAAAGAAATAATGTTGATTGAATTGGTGCTTTCAAAACTGCAGGTACATCTTAGGTTCTGAGGGTTTTCTTCTATAACATTAGGAAAATACATGCAAAACAATGCAGGTGCTAGGTGGGTACAGAAGACTGAAAGAATTAGTGACATCATGATTCCAGATCAGATGGCTGAATAGTTTGCTTAGCCTCCTATTTAATCCACTTTCAATACAGAGAAAAGACATGAAGAGAATTCAGTTCATGCAAGTCTGAAGTATGGGAATGAAAGGAATACAAAACTTTATATGAAATAAGCTGTATAAAAAGAACCCACACAGCAACTTTTTTTTATAATTATATAAAAGTAGTAGAAAAAGATTGGTGTGTAAATACACTGCACTAGTTATGTATTAGGCTTTGTTCTACATAAATTACAAGAAAAAGATATTACTATAGAGCACAAAAGTGGAAGTACCTACAGGACAGGCATTTACTAACCAAATTTATCACTCATGATTCTCTGTACTGAAAAAAATTGAGTAGCACCTTGGTTACATTGAATAAAAGTGAAAACAATTATTTGCTTTATGTCATTTCAAGAGTAAAAAAAGCAAAGAAACTAAAATACCTCAAGTAGAAAGCTAAGTCACCCAAGCAAATTAAAAGCCAACAAACACTGAAACTTATTAAGCACCACAGGCAACTGAGACACTGAGCAGAAATTCTCCATGTTTCTGTATATAAGAATGATAGCTTGCAAAATGTACCCCAAGCAAAACAACCTACTGAGTCTAACCATGGTTATGTAATGCTTCCTTTTGACCTTCAGGTCAGCGAAATTATCCTTTTTTTGTTATAAGCTGGCCAAGTTGCAAATAACAGCTGGACTACTTAGTGAGCTGCACATTTCAAATTATTCTGACAAACCTGGAACAGTAAATGAAATTGTATTCTACTCCATTAAACAGAAGTTATGCAAGTAATATTCCAAAATTAATTATTAAATAATTAATAATAAAGTAGTGAATTTTAAGTTTTTTTCTACTATTTAAGAGCAATATCCCCAGTTACTATCACTGCATGTTCCTAAATATCTCTTCATATGAACTTGTGTAAAATAATGCCTTTATTTCTGGATAAACAACACTAAAGGGAGATTATGTTGCAAAACATGATTGATGGAGTAGGAATACAATTTCCCCTGAGAATAAATAAAAACATTTATATGTTGAGATTTTATCAATAATTTAAGAAAACAAATTAACATCCAGTAGTGCATAAATATTTAACTTAATATTTTTTTCATGTGCATACTGATATAAGCACTGGAGAAAACCAGTTCTATTTCAAAATGGTCACCACTAGATATCCCAAGATTACAACCTTTGAAAACAAAGTACAGAAACCTTGTCCATTTTACTGTACAATTCACTATATTCCAAGAGATAGACTAAATACTTGGTGCACATTTTATGCATTCTGAAGCATGAAACTTGTCTTAGACCAAGAGCCAAGGCTGGAATTGCAACTATGATTTTTAAGTTTTCTTGTGTTCTTTTGCCAAATTAGAAGACAGAGAAACTTAAAAAAATACAACACAAAGATAAGTAACCAAAATTATATGCCACTTCATAACCATCTAGCTAGTCTTGCCTAAATCTTCACTTAGATACCTTTTTCTGATTAAGGTTTTGTGCTTCATTCAGCTCCCCAGCCTCCTTGGTGTCTGCATCTATCTCTTCTTTACTTTCATGCTCATCTTCACTTGTAATGGGACCATTTTCACATAAAGGAGTTTGAAAATCATCATCAACCAGTGGAGGATAACTGTATTTGAAAGAATCCTGAAAAATAAGGGGATTTATAAAAAGATGAGTTATTTGAAAGTATTAGAAGTGCCTTCTCTAGGGTTTTTTAAATGGAAATACTGTCATTGTTTCTTGTTTCACATTACTCTTATGTTTCATTTATCCATTTCAAGTTGCACCCCTGTACAGAAAGCTGACACCAAGAGTTTTTATTTTATCATTAACAGACAAATAAATACAATCATCCAATGAAGCCAGTAAACTGTAACTTTTATTTATATTTGCAGTAGAACTGCAGAAGCTGGTCTATCAAGGATCAGCATTCAGAGTCTTTTTGTTGAAGTTATCTTCTTAGTTCTCAAAAATGTGGTTTGAAACATATGACAAGCTATTTCTAAAAATATTTTAAAAGTGATGAAAAACATCAGTTGTTCCTTGTATGTTAGTTTCATAATGGCCAGTTTTAAAAAAGGAAATAAACCCCAAAACTATGAAACAATAATCCCTTATTATTAATAAACCAAAATAATCCCTTAAATTTAATATAATGTGTGGACCTTTAGCCAATCCTGCAATTCAGACCTCTAGTGTTTGGAATGCCAAATCAATTTAAAGACCATATTGAAGATACCTGAGTAATGCAGTAGTGTAATACCTAAGTTCTCAATGACTCTCCAATAAAGGTACCTTTTTCATTGGAAGATCAGTAAAAAAGAATTTTTGCTAACTAGAATTTCTTTTAGCATTCTCCAAATAATTTTATTACATGTAATGTTAGAGACAATGTTTGAATTGGGATTTCTATTCCTACTGTATTTTCAAGCAGTTTTAAGCATCAAATAAACTGAATTCGTCTGTCAGCTTTTCCAATGGAGAAAAATAACATTGCATTGATTCCTGTCCTGCTTCTGAATCAGAATGGAGCAATGCCCCTGCTTCCCAAATGATGCCTCTCTAAGCAGGGAGTTATAGAAAGGTGTTTCAAGAGAGCTCTCCATAAGCAAGTACATTTTCTCAAAACAAGGAATAACTTGATGTTAAGATAGATTAAGAGGGAAAAGTCTTAGATGGACCCATTCAAAGAAAGCACAAGCAAAACAGCATACTTCATGCTCATCTATAATCAAGGTCTAAATCTCATCTACTGTTCAGGCTGTAGCAACAGTCAAAGACCTCTAGGTGAATGAAAGAGCTATTCCCTGGCTCAAAAAATATCCTATTAAGGGCCTGAAGAACAAGCTTTAAGTATAATTTACAGACTAAATCACTATTAGAAGAAAAGACTGCAGTCTGCTAGAAATATTACGGTAGTCTTACAGAATACTGACATCCCACATTTGTCAGAAATATCCAGCTTCCCCTTCTCCAAACCAACAGAGCCTTGTCACTCCCTTCCAGCAAAGGATGAGGGATGTGTAACAGAGTGACCTTAATAGAGGGAAATTATTTTGCTGCACGCTTTACTTGGCCTTGTTAATCCATGCTGCTGGATAGGAGCTGAACAGAATTGCATCAGTGGGACAACTCAAAGCCCCACATTTCAGTCACAGTGCCCACATTTCAGTGGCATAGGTGTATCTACTAACAGGGTGAAAACCTCAGCTACCTAAACAAGACAGTTTTAGTCAATGCCTGATACATCCATTCTATAGACTTATGGATCCTTTTTATAGCAAATCTAGAGAATTCATACTACTATTTTTGACAGTTTTTGTAGAGGTGTCTTAATCATAGTAGTGATATTTTCTAAGATTACATGTACACAGTGGCCATGAAGGCATATGCAAGCTTAGCCACGTCTTAACTTCAGGCCACTTACCTATATAAGGTACTTCCAAGAAAACCTGTGGGCTATCAATTTTGATACCCAGGTGAAGAACACAGCAGTTGAACATATTGTTCAATACTGGCATCAGTTGAGAGAACCTTGATCAATTCATCCTTCTTAAATCCATGCTCTGACAAAGACTGGGCAAAACAACAAATCAAAACCCTACTGTGTGTACATGTCTTGCAGCTAAGTGTACACTGTATGTACATCAGTTTTGAAGAAAATATTACTGAAGAGACAACAAATATTCCTGCTCAGTCAGAAATGTGTATGCCTTCAGAACCGAACTGTTCTGACAGCGGAAATGGCAGAGTGTGCAGTACAACAGATAGGAAAGCCAGAAAACACCAAGTTAGTACACAGTTATTACTACATGAAAAATATTACCAAGTGGCTCTTGTACACCTAACTCTTATTTTCCAGGCTGGCTAGCATTAACGTGCTCCTAGATATTCTTTGGGCAATTTTGACAAGCCCTCCAAAATAAACCTGCTATAAAGAAAATGATCTCTCTGCACTATGGACAAGAACAACTCAAAGCTACATACGTAGTATGTAGCATGTATGGATTACAAAGATGGTAACAGCCACAGGAAACAGAATGATGAGGACTTGAATAGAACTTAGACCAAATTCATATTCCAAAGTCCTGCAAACCCAAGTTTCTGTTTTCCATAATTAGTTTTAATGCTCTTGGTACTCTGGAGACACCTTTGACCATTAGTTGTCTAAAATCAAGCATGTAATATTCCTCCTTTTGCAGCTAGCTGACAGTCAATCAAAGGATTTTAAAGCTATGGAAAGTTTCTGATTCATCTTTTAAGTGACCCTGAGACCGACTTGAAACATGCTTAAAGGTAACTTTGTTGAGACATTGAAGCTTGAAGACTTCCAACAGAGACAAAGAACAGTTCCCTTAATTAACCAAAGTAATCATTAACTCAAAGTTCAACATTATTAATTCTATGGATTTGTTTTATTACTTCCAGAACTAGTCTCTAACATTCTTCTGGAATACAAAGAACATAAGTGCAGTGGAATCTAGGTATGTCCCCAAATTAACCTGCCAAATAATCTGCTCCACAATTTGCTTACATGTGGCCAGACCTGGCTCTTTGAAGTTGGATCCCAGTAGGGGACACAGCAAAGGATGCACAGATATGCTGTGCTCTTCACTGGCATTATGCTTGCTGTGAATATGAAGATCTGTAAATAAATGCGTGGAAATCTAAGATGACAGAGAGAAAAAAAAAAGTCCTTCACAAACAAAACAACACTTGAGAGAAAAATGGAAGTAATCAATTTATGCAATTCAGATAGTGCATTTAAAAGAATGTCAGGCCTGACAATACTAATAAGGTGAATTGTTCTCTAGCTAGATGCCTCAAGAGAAGCCAAGGTTAATCACATCATTGAAGTTAAATTCTGAGAAAGGTCATTAAGTTGTCTGATCAGTGAAAAACTCCTTGCTATCAGATATGTAAAGATCCACTGAAAAAAATCTTGGGAAGAAAGATTCAGAGCATAATTTTAGAGTCTTGGTATTTGCTAACAATTCTTCCAAATTATGCCAGTTCTAAGGTTAAAAGCTCAGAACAGCCATCAAGTGAAACTCAGTAGTTAGATAAAGAATGTGCTGGTTCAAAATACAGATAATGTGCTGGTTCAAAATAATATGCAGAGATAAAGCTGTTTTTGTGAAACTGTCAAAACCTCTTGAGTCCTTGTCAGGCAAGTTTACTACTTTCTACTACCTTATTTCTGCCACTGCAACTGTTTACCCCAGAAAAATTATTTGGATAAGCTGCTTCCATGATTCTGAAACGTGTTAATGCTCAGGAGATGGCCAACATGGAGCCAGCTTGATCAACAATCAGCAGGCAGCAGTGAGACCTTTCAAGCTCTAGGCAGGATGACAAATAACTCTAAGATTGTGTGTTCCATCAGATGATTCAGGAGGATACTTAGCAAAGCCACAAGTTCTTTCTTTAAAGACATAATGAACTATTAGGTGAGATAGTCTAAAAAGCAGATGGGAGATACTTAGCTTTAATGAAGAAAAAAATTTGCCCCTCTATTGCAGCAACAGGACAATACCACAGGAGCCAGGCCCAGAACCACTGTTAAACAACATTCAATCCCTTACTGAAGCCACTTCAGACATTACCAGCCCTTCCCTCCATGTTCACTCTTGTGGTGCAGTAATTTCAGGTTTCTTCCATATGAGAAAGTTCTTACGTGAGACTGAAAGCTGGGGCAGCAATTTTCCATAGAGAAAAAGGGTATATTTTCTTCAAGAGTAGCATGCACTTTTTAAAGGCTGCAAATCTCAGTCAAATGAAAATCAAGGTAACATTCTTTTATGTTCCCCAAACAAGTTTCTTATGTTCTGGCCACAATAACACTGCCCTGAATTCTCCCCTGCAGTGGGCTTATTATACTACCAAAAATGGCCTATTAACACTTTAAAGCACAATTTTTCTGTGAATTTATTTTAAAGATTATGCAATACTGATCTACTAGCCTAGTGAAAAGTGAAAGCTGTTGTGCAAGATGCCTGTGCTGTTCCACTCTTTGGATTGCTCTAGAACTGGATTCTGGTTTTCTGAAACTGATGCTGCTTGTAGCACTTTGGAGCTCTACTATACTGTTTGAAAAGAATCCTCTACAGCCATGTCTTAAAATGCAGCCCTAGAGACAACAAAGGAGAGAAATAGCTACAATATAACTGTCTTTGTTGAATCATAGCAGGACTAGAACTCTCAGAGGACCATGAAACCTACTTTCTGTTCATAGAACTTGTTTCATAAAATAAACACCCTCTCTAATTCATCAGGGAGGGAAAAAAGTACAGGGGACAATGATACTTAGACAATTTTTCTTGAAGGTTTGAAAAACTAAGTGGTTTTCAGTGATTTATAAGGGGATGAATGATTCAAAAAAATTGTTCTGTAATTAAGAATGTACTTAAGAATGCAGATACCAAATTCTCATGGAGTTAACCTATTTTATATTATCATGATTTTGAAATTATCATTGGCAAAACAATTTCAAGAAATCTCCCATTTGTGAAGAGCCAATCCTCAACCCCACATATGGAATTTATATAGATATTTCAATCTATCACAACAGGAACATGAAATTTTATACTTACAGTTCCACCCATGTGAGGTGGCAGATACTCTCCACTGATGTACTCCTGCACATCATTCTTATTTGTGAACTTTAACATGCTTATTGCATCTGGGCCAAGCCAACCCTTCACGATTTTAAAAGCAGCTTTAAAAAACAAAACAGAACACCAAACAAAACAAAAGGTACACATAAGTTAACAAGAGAGAAGTTTTGTTATTTTGTTTTTGTAGGTTTTTTTTAGTGTATTGGTAGATCTTACATAACACAAATGAGCTACATCCCTCAAGATATTGCAAAACCTGCTCTGAAGTAAATATTATAATTGGAATGTGCAATGCAAGGGAAACAATGTATTATTTACAGAGAAAATGAAAAGAGTGCCTTTGATTTAATAACTGACAACTCTGTTGTCTTGGAATTTAGCCCTAGAAGTACTGAGGAGGTAAAAGTAATTGTGTTTCCAAATCTGTGTGAGGGAGGTTGGGAAAGATACCTACATTTCACCCTTGCTGAAATGTTTTGCTGATTTAAATGATATTTATTTAGATCTAAATGATATTTACCATATCAGAACAAATGTAGCCACATGAGCATCTAGTGTCACACATCTATCTTAAACTGTGTATTCTAGTTTTGAACTGGTTATAAGTCACGATCATTGCTAATGATAGGATTCCTACAAGGATTCTTCTTAGAAGCATTCAAATAATAGACTGTTTATGAAGGTCTCTTAACCTTTGAAAACAACAGGATGAGCACAGACTTCCTGTAAAGTATGATTCAAAATACAGTGATAGAAGGAAAAATTAAAGGTATGCAACCTTTAAACTGCCAGCTTTAAAGATGCATGTTTAACAAATTCCATTATTCATCTGTATCTACACAGAGTAGAAGAATGCTTCTTATTTATGCTGCTAAATTTTAAAAGTTATCACAATCCAAAAAGAAAAAAACCAAAACTTACCATTCATTATCCATGGCATTTCAAATATTACTATCTTCGCTGAAAAAAAGAAAAAATTAAGATCTGAATACCAAGTGTTGGGTATTTCTCCATTTAAGAGCAAGTACAGCAATAACATTCATGTAAAAAGTAAATACATATTACAAACCTCCATGTTCACCTCCCTGTAAAAGCAATTTTGTACAAACTTATTGCTATTTAGAAACATTAGCTGTTTGCTTGGAAAACAGGCAATAAAATTCCAAGTTATACATATAACAATATAGTTATATATATTGTTTATGTACTTCCTGGGATACTACTTTTCTGACATATTGTTATTAATAACTCATCTCAAAAATAAGGCAAAGAAAGGCAAGATCTCAACCTGACCTAGAAAAGCAGCCACTGAACAGAAAAAAGTTTAACAAGTATATTCAGCACCCCCTCCTTCACAAAGAAACAAATAACTGTAAGTCTTTGTAAATAATTTTTTTTCCAAATATTCTTTATTTAACCATAGAAGTTTGAAAATACTTTAGTGTCCCGATTTTTTTTTCCTCCTGAATGTCAAAGTACAAAAAATAATGTTGCACTTGCCTTTGAGTTTGATATTTGAGCAAAGCTTTGAACTTTGATCAGCAAGCTAAAACCTAATATTCAGAGTTTAAGCAGTTGCTGTATGGAATTTCAACATTCATAGACATTTTCACCTAAAATTTACAACATATTTAAGAAGAACTAGAATAAATTACGCAGTGTTTGCCTATGCATAAAAAAAATAGCAGCCAAGTATGCAGGGTTTTTTAAGTGTGCACACTAAAATGCCTTTCCAGAATAATTTTCAGAATAAACCATTTTAATTTTCAGAAGAAATCAGTGATCCCCATAAATTTCCAGAGCCATTCATTCTTTGATCCCCGAAGACTCCTAAGGGATACAAACTGTCATGAAAGTTTGTAAAGTTTCCACCCAAGTAACAAGTAGCAAAGGAAAACAGATCAATTATTTTCTATTATATGCTTATAATATTTCTTACTATATATAAACATAGTAAGAACTATTACTTAGTAATAGTAATAAACATTATTACTTCACAAAAAGACAGTTGATTTTTGATGAAAGTAAAGTTTATTCACAAACAAGAGTTGTACTGATTTAAGAACATCTGAACTCTGTAACATGCGCATGTTTCATGAAGTTACCCCAGAAAATACATGAAAAAGAATCCTTATCTTTCCCATCTTCTATCATATAAAGAAATTCTCTTGTTACCACAAGTCTACAATGCTTGATATTTAATATACAATACTTACTGAGGAAGTTTGGGTAATAATCTGTAAAACAGTTGACAATAAACCGGACAAAATCCAAGTCCTAAATAAAAAAAAATCACAGCATAAATGCAAAGCAAGACAAAACATTAAAAATTACAGGCTAAGTTAAGGCATTTAATGAAAAGCACAAGATAGATATATTGTAGCCAACCACGTTCAAATTTTACATGCACTACAAATATCCTCAAAACACAATGCAAGGCTTTTTCCTCCATTAAACCGCTGCAGGATTCTGGTCACACTGCCCCTTATAATCTAAGAAAGAAGGCAACAGACCTCTGATCAGTGCAATAACTAAGATATTTAAACTACTGCAGAGTAGCAACATGACTTAAGATGTGCAGGAAAGATACAGGAAAAAATACCCTTTAGCACTAGAGAAGCTTGACAGATGGAAGAGTACTCAATATATTGAAATCCCCCTTCAATAGTTATCGTACATACTGTTCAATATACTACTGCACTCAGTGTTATATTTCCAAAAGAAAAAAACAGGTTTTCCTTTGAAGAGAATTGTTGAGTTTAGTATTAGTTGGTGGCATGCAGAGAAAATGTGGGCAGAGACAGCACACAAAAGAGCTGCTTCTATAATCACCCATTTTCCGAATGCCTCTATCCAATGAACAACTATACAGAAATAGTACAGTCAGTCTCCTTTGCAAAATCCAGGTATAATGGAACTGGTTACACAGTAAAGGGCAAGGAAGGCTTTTTGTGGAACAGGTACAGAAATAAAGTAAGAGATACCTCACCACAATAAGGTACTCAGGTGGGAAGCCTGCTATGGGTTCTTTCCCCAGTCCTTTTAACAGAAGCAACCACTACTACTACTACTTTCAGAAATAGTACAGAGTGTTTTTGGCTATGGATCCAAAGCCTGCCATAACAGTAAGACTGGGGAAGGGGATTCTATATGCAAACACTACCAAAATATTTGTGGACGGAGTAACAAAAGCCCAAAAAATAACACTGTATAAGAGAACTACACACAACCTGAAAGCTTTTTCAGTGGCTTCAGCAACTAGAAACCAACTGAAAGCTTGACATCTTCACAAGCAGAAGGTGGCCTCTAACAGAAGTATTTATCTCAACTGTCTGTTGCTTGCACCAAATGCAAGCTCTTTCATTTAACAGCACAAACACAGTGATAGATTATAATGATTAGAATCTCCATTAATCAGGATGCTGCTCTCTATTCCGCTGCCTATCCAAAAGAAGCACTACCAGACAGAGAAGGATATATCCATTATTTTGATGAAAGTCTGGAATTAGAAGTATAGATTTCACAGACCATTCAATAACTGCATCTATTCTAGTTACCTGAACTGGTGCACCAAGCCATGATCCATCAGAATTATCTCCTGCATACCAGTGATAAAAGTGATATAGTAGATGTCCATAGCAACTTAACAAACAAATGAAGCATGCTCTGGAAAAGAACTCAGAGATCCAAGTTCTTTTTCTTTTAGGATAGATTTATCAATTACTCCACAAGGCTACAAACAGCCATCAAAAATATTCCTGTTCTGTGATAAACATACTAACTACAAAGCAAGACTGTACAATGGGACAGTTACAGACAGCACTTGCTGCGATTTCGTCTCCGAGTCTCTAAGACACAAGGGGAAAAAAGCTGCTTCAGAATATAATCCATAAATCCTGAATCAAATCAGTCTTCCACATCAAAGAAATCATTAAAATCCTTTACTCCTGCTATATAAAACTGTGGTTCCAGTATTATTTTAGGAGCATGAACAGATAGCTCTGTTACTGTACAGGTAAGAGCACCAACCTTGCAAAACAGAATCACACTGTATTTATTTGTCAAATTACCTCCTCATAAGCTGGTGGTCCTGTACTGCACAGCTGCAAGGTCCCAGTGCAACATTAATAATCTTGCCTGTGTTAGACATAAACAAGCTTTGGGAGTTGGGTTTAGGGGTGGGGTTTTTTTGCTTACATTAATTCTTGTCGTACCACCACCAGCAGACAAAAAAGAACAAAGATACAAGTTTCAGCCATTCCTGTAATAACAGGACAGCATGGCATTCAGTAAGAAAAATATAATTATTCTATACAAATACATTTTTTAACTTATAGACAATTGGTGATATTTTTAGTTGTTACATTAAATCAATATATATGTCCTGATAGGCAAGATCTCAACCTTGCAATCTAAACCAGCTCAGCCACTAAACTATAAAGCAAGTTTTCACCATGTTGCAGAAGACAAAGTTTAATATGTAACAAAAGGTTTTGGAAACTGCTCATGTCACGGGAAAAAGCTCTATCATATCACTGATCTGAATGACTGTTAAGTTTTTTATGTGTCAAGGACTGTAGAGTGATTTCCTTTTTCCTAGGAACATGGGCAAAATTCTAAAAGCAATCAAAACAAGACAGTAAAAATACTTACTATGTGACTGATTCCAGTTTCAGCCATGTCAAACACTACTGTCAAGGGCTTCCCATGATCTCTCTTGGCATAATGTTCCAACCAAAAAGCAACCAGTTTCTTTTTGTCAAGTTGCTGTTTAGGATCTCTTGTATGATGCTTCACTTTGAACCAAACTTGGGAAAAAAACACAGAAGAAGTCAAAACAATGACCCAAGCTAACAGAAAGCATCATAAAAATAACTATAGAGGATGCATTGAAATGTATTAATACTTTTGAGTTTGTATCTTACATTTGTTCTGATTTTGTGACCACTGAACAACCACAAAAACAACTGCACACTTCTTCACATACCACACTTTTCTACCTCACATTTTTTTACTGTAAATTTTTAAAAATTGAAAATCTAAAGAATTACACCCCAGAAGAAACATTCAAGTGGAAAGCCACTTTTTGTGTATTTAAGGCTACTCACCTAGATTAGCATTTCATAATTTAAAATTAAATCACATGGTCTTCAGACAATATTATGTTCCATACATATTCTAAGTATTGCTGTAAAATTAATGTTTCCTTTTCTGCTTAGGTTTCCTACAGCACTGCACTTGATGTGTTTTGAAAAACTATTTACACACACCATAAGAATTATATAAAAAGCAACAGATCCTTTGAAAACAAAATGAAAAATTCCAGGAGGTGAGCAACACTGTATAAATGAAAGCCTAGTATATTTTCTTCTGGGGAAAAAAAAAAAAAAAAAAAAAAGGAGTCTTACAGAGACTTGTTTTTCCATAAAAAAAAAAACCCACCAAAAAAACCCACAGGCATAATTCAAAGTAAAAGACTTTATAAAAATGTCTGAAAGTCACTGACTGTACAGTAAGTGAGAAAAGAAATATTCAGGGTAGTAATGTGAAGAGTAGCTTCCACTTTTATTGCCTTTACAGTATCCAAGTTTGATAAGCCTGAAAATAACTTTGGATATGCTCAATATTCTTCTCCCTGAAACTTGGAAAGTTGTAGTAAAAACCAAGTTTTTCTCCATGTCTTTTACTTCCAATTGCAAAACTAAAGTAAAAAGTCACTTGTTTCATGTAAAGAAACAAATGTTTCTAAATATAGCAAGACTGTATTTCAAGGTAAAGAGAAACCCCTATTCAAACACAGAACATACATTAAACTATTATATTCTTGTTTAAGACCGTGATCACATCACCAAGAGATCTGAGAGTCAGGCCCATGGTGTGATTCTGAAGCTGTCCTGTGCAGGATCAGGAGTTGGACTCCATCCTGCTGGTTCCCCTCCAACTCAGTGGACTCTATGATAAATAAAAACTTTATTACCCAATCACCTTTTTAAGTAAAAACAGTAGCCAATGTATACCTATGTCTGTTCTTAAAATGCTTATTTTTCAAGATGATAAAATGCTGGAAACAAAATAATGATCAAAGACTGAAAATAGTCTATTCTGTATAACTTACATAACTTATAACCCTCTTTATCATATCCATGCAGAAAGAGAGCACCAATTTCAAATAACCATTTCGGAAGGACAGATTCTGACAAGTCTGCAAAACCAAATGAAATATTATTTCAGTAATCATATTAATAATCACATTGTAACTTAACAGAAGTCACTAAAAATTAAAAAGTATAACAAAAAAACCCCAAAAAATCTTTATAAACCACTTTCCAAGGCATTTATTAAACATTAAATAATGCAAATATTGAGCTATTTTCAAATCTTTACTATCTTTTTCTCATGCTAATGAGTAGGGTCTATTTAAGAATGAAGCCTAATTGAAAAAAATCTACATAAGAAAACACTGCAAATGTTTATTTTTTTCATATTTTAAGATTCCCCCACCATGCTCTATTGTTTAATTCAATGTGAAGTCCTGTAGATAGAGTCAACCTTCAAAGTATTTTCACAGCACAAAAATAAGATCTCTAATTTGATGTACCTCACCAGTGCCATTACAATGAGCAAGAGAGCCCTGTTTGTTGTGGGGTTTTTTATTATTAGCCTGTTTTTTTGGATTCTATGATGTAAAGAGACAAAACAACAGATAGCTGCCTGCTTTCTTTCCTTCCTCTTAAACTCCCTTTCAACAGACATATGGAACCACAACGAAACAGAGACACTACTGGTCAACATAAAAATCAATACCTTTTCTCTTTTTTGAAAGTTCTTGCTCAGCTTTCCATGATACATGCAAACATTTAAGAGGTCCTTAATGAAACTACATATAGAGGTCACTGGTAGTTCAATAGCAAAGCAACACACACCTTCAAAACCACTGTATAACATAGCTTACCATTAACTGTGTATTCTTTCCTCCACTGAAAGCTTTCATCAATCATCTTTAAAGTATCATCCACAACATCATGACGCCAAATCAAGTAGTTTTCAACCCATTTATCATCTTGCTGAAGTCTTTCCACATCTCTAGAATCATATTTATCTGATTTATCTAGGAAATAAATAAGTTAATGTCTATAACATTTGCTACAAAAATGTGAAGAGATTTGTCAAGTCTAGGTCTCTAAGCATCTACTTGGTACAAAGGATTTCTCTTACAGTTTCAAAGTTAAGCAAACAAAGCACAGCATGATAAATTAATGGAAACCATCTATCTGCTGCAATGATATTTAGGGACACCACAAGACTACTCTCACTAGAAAAATATTTCCTGTGATCCTTATGCAAAGAAAAAACAAGGTGGATTTGGGTCAGGTGTAATTTTCCTAAAACTAATTTTCTGTAATTAACATGAATTAGTATATTGTATTAGAATCTGTCTACTGATGAATGTATATATGAAATATCACAAGCATATGTTTGATTTCCCAAACTTATAGGTATAAGCACGTTAGACTATAAAATGTCTAACAAATATGAAATTTGTAGTTTTGTGCATGCATCATACATAATTGCATTAAACAGTACTGTTTTCTTTAAAGAAAATTACAGTTTACACTTTTGATAAATTGTTACCCTACCCAATAAAAACTACATGCAACTCTAAAGTAGCACAAAAGCCCTCAAGACTTCTTGTATTTTCTTGTATCAGATTAGCAACATGACAACAGGCTTACATGATTTTGGAAGTACTTCAGATGAAACAAGACTTGTTACTGCTCTGGGATTTTTAGTTTTAAACAGGAAAGTAAAACATAAATGCTAAGCGGACCTATTTCTACTGTAGATATGCTTAAACAAAAGCTCACTTTTTAGATCAATGATCCCCTGTCTGAGAAACTGGCAAAAAATAGAATGAAAATTGAGCCCATAACAGAAACAGGCTTCTGAAAGCAACAGACACTGACACACATCTCTGCTAACTATTAAAAAATCCTAAATTCTTAAGCTATTCACTTAAATTCATGATTACCATGGTAAAAATAAATAAAAATAAATAAAAGAGATTTAATTTTCACATACTGGAAAGACTATTCCTCTATCAATAGCAATAAACTGCTTTCAGAACCATCTAGAACTGTAACAGGATGTTTCGGGAATGTTTATTTCAGTCAGACAACTCTGAAGACAGAGTTGAGAAAAAGGCACCATTAAATTCTGCTAATATTTGTTGTTTTACTGGCATAGAAAAATATGATCTACTTTACTTGTCTTTCAATTTATACTGTTTCCTGTTAGAAAGTAGTCAAGGTAACTATAAGAATGTATAAATTTATATGTGTTCATTCACTAAATTATAGTTGCACTCCCCAATGCATCTCTTCACATCTGACTGCTTCTTAAATACATTATCTACCATGTTCCCCTCTTCATTAGGCTTCAAATTTCTCCTTCCACTGATTCCATTCCACTACTTTACATTGTTCCTTAGACAACCCTAGAATTTAATCCCACTTCCCTTAATCTTAGTTCCGTACTTTCTTCTCTGCCCAAAAGCCTCTAATCCACTAAAATATTTTTCAGTTACTTTTCACATCATTTCCATACTTGCACTGGACAGCTAATTTCCTATATTCTGACTAAGCCCAGTGAAGTGATCACTAGCACCAGACTGAAATGTTTAATTTCTCTGTGGCTCTAGAGGAACCACAGATGAATTGCAAAAATCCTGGGTGTGAAATTTTGTAGCCTCAACTGCTCATCTGAAATTAGTAGTTCCCCCAGTGATGTAGGAAGTTTTGTCTAAGAAAAGCTAACAGTACTTAGTTTCAAGTTAACCACTTCACCTTGGTCTAATAATCTCTAACACACACTGGCTTCCAGCTACAAGAGACTGCAGTTACTACTCAATCAGCAAAGTACTTTGCTGAGATCAGTCCCATGTGTATCTTATATAAATAAGGGATTAGGGTACTGTGTAATTAAAGAGAAAACCCACCACCAGGTAAAAACTAACAGGATAACATTTCACACCACTTTTTGAGGCTCTCTTTGCTTTCAGTATCTGTGTGAGAGCATAGCTGTAAAAATGAGAGAACTGTGCACCTTGTATCAAGCTGTCATACCATTACATGGAACATACCTCCAAACACATTTCTCAACCACTTGCAAGTCTCTCTAAACTCTGGACTTGCAGAACATTTTTAAAAACAGACATTTACCTTTGTGAGTATTTTTAGAAAATTAAAGTGAAAGAGAAACAGAGAGAATGTTTAATCCAAACTGCCAACATCAATGGAAAGCAAGCTACATTCAGAGTTAAGGGTAGTTCAAAAGGTATCTTTCCCTCTCTTCTCTAACTAAATTCTCAATAAGGCACATGTAATCTGAACTTACATATATGTGCTATAATACACCCTAAAACCAGGGGAAACAACTAGTCAAGTTCTGCATCTACAAGCACTTGCAGCTTAAGATTGACAGAACAACAGTACTGAGTGCTGTATGACTTTCACTTAACGGATCCAATTCTTGCTACAAAATAAGTAACATTTAGAATGAGAATGCGAATCCAAAAGAAAGGTGTTTTATGTCACACACAAAAAGCAGTGATATAAAACTGATGGAGTCCATCTGAGAACCCAGTGACTGAAAATGTGTCAGGTCAGAGGAGGAATTCCTCTTCAAATCTGTACATGTCACATAATTCTACAGACATCTGGAAACTTGTTTTCAAAATATGCTGTGAAATAATCAGAATGTTTCTAATTTTAAATCACTCATGGAACACCTAAGTGCAGTTACTAGATTACTATTATTAGAAACTTCTGGAGTTAAATGAGAATTAGTTGAAAGAAAATAAGACCTTTGGGATTCTCAATACAATTTAAATACATCCTGCACAACAACTAAGAGGCCAAAAAAGAAACAGCCATATGGAAATTCAGATGGAACTATAACTGAAGTTATCAGACAATCTCCAAGCCTACACATTTAGATACTTGTAACCATATATTGATGCTTTTCTCAAAGGAAAATTAGGTGCTTGCTTCTTCACAGGACTAGCACTAGGACACTGAGACACTAAGTTTAGTCACCCCCTCCTCAGGAAGACAAACATCTCTGTAATTAAGTCCATAATGAACAGAATTTTGTAAGGCATTTGGAACACCATCTCTCACTCCAAAGGTAACACAAGGAACAGCATTACCAGCTATTTCTGTTCAGAAAGAGCTACTAAAAGTTGTATATGTAGCAGCAGTGCCAGACTTTGTAACACCTGATAATCCGGAGGCTTGGAAACCTGGTTGCTCCCTCAGTCCAAGACACTCAAACCTTTCTGTATCATAGAACAGTTCCACAGCCCATGGCAGAGGAAAAACTGGGATGCTGCAATAGTTTTCCATTGACCCAGGAAACTGCAGAAACTAAGACTCAGATCCAAAAAAGAAAGAAAGAAAAAGCATAATCTGCCAAATTATAAATTACACATAAGGGAGTGACAGTAGCAAGGAGATGTGACCCTTATTAGCCCTCTTTATTCCTTTAGCTGAAAGTTCTCCAGCAAAATTTGAGTGAGCAAAACTGACCAGGGATTTAACCTAATTTTGAAAATAGTTGGTTAAAGTCACTTTCATTTTCTCATTGAGCATTTGAGGTCAAGAGAAAAGACTGGAAGAAGACAAAATCCAAAATCTGTTTGAATATCAACTTTTCATGTTACTTGCCTTCCTTTTTTTTTTTTGCACCTTCACTCTGTCCTTTTAAAAGTTGTCTTCTTCCAGCTGAGAAGCTTCCAGTGAAAGTGTATCACTTAATTACTGTTTCAACATAAAGGATCTTCTATAACACCAGAAAACAGCTCTGAAAACAACTGCAGAATTACGCAAAACTAAATGCACACAAATTTCACTGCAATACTTTCACAAGAAGATTTCATTAACTTCTCTGAGGCACAAATGGTAAAATTCCTTCTTTATACGTCACTCTCTTTCAATGCCATCTAATTACCATGCCAGGAGCCCCCTGGAGCAGGTTCAGTGGAAGGCTGCAAAGATGATTAATGGTCTGGAGCACCTCTCCTATGAGAACAGGCTGAGAGAGCTGGGCCTGTTCAGCGTAGAGAAGAGATGACAGAGCAGACCTCATCAATGTCTGACAGTACCTGCAAGGAGGTGTCAGAGGACAGGCCCAGGCTCTTCTCAGTGGTGCCCAGCAACAGGGCAAGAGGCAATGGCAAAGACTGATGCCTGTTCCTCTTGAGTATAAGGAAGAACTTCTCCACTGTGTGTGACCAAGCCCTGCAGCAGATCGCCCAGAGAGGGTGTGGAGTCATCCAAGGACTGCCTGGATGCAAACCTGTGCCCTGTTCTCCAGGATGACCCTGTTTGAACAGGCTGGACCAGACAAGCCACTATGGTCCCTTCCAACCTGATCCATTCTGTGATTACCAGGAGAACAGTGCTGTAGTGCTGTGCTGCTGTGTTTTCTTCTAGTGTTCATGCTTTAGGAAAAATACAAATTTGAGAATATTCAGCAGGAATATAGAAGAATAACTACAAAACTCAAAACCAGGCAGCACATCTAAGTCACACACTAAATTAATCCAGAGAAGTTCAGAATTAAAACCCTGAATGACCCCTTCCTTTAGGAAAAACTCTTATCTAGAAAAGTAGTGTTACAGAACAAGCCATAATAAAACTAAGTAGGGACAGCTTGTCTGCAGCTGCATGTCTTTTAATAGAGAAAAAAAAAACAAACTTCATTGTACAAAGTAGAGAAAAAAGCAACTTAGAAAAGTATGGCAAGTGTTACATTACACAAAGAGACTCAATTTAACTACTGTCTTAAAGCTATTTCAGCCAAGAATTCTTGGTCTAAAATGGTCACAATCATTTCTCTGACTTTGGCTGCAAAGAGCAAACCCATTTTAATTGGCTGTTGATGCCAAACATTAAGTTAAGTACTGTAACAATTCAGGTATATGCCTTCAGTTGATGAGAAAATCAGCAAGACTAGAAACAATTTAAGAAGGTCAGTAGCCATAAAAGGGACAGGGATGAAGAAAAAAACCAAACACTATTTCCATCCAAAAAGGAATTCAATAACCTTAAGCAGCAATAGACAAAATATCTGCCTCCACAAAGTGAGAGAAACAAACTTTTAGCAAAGCTAAACAGTGTTAGTGACAATATAGACTACTTTCAATAAAAAGCTCAATCATTAATGTTACAGAGCTTTCTTTGAAAGTGTTTCCCTTCTTATCCTTTCACCAGTCTCAGCCTGAAAGCCAAGAATCAGGGAAAACAGACTTTTCAGAGCATAAGACATATGCAGGTATGCAGAACATTACTTAAAGAATCTTCTACAATAGTCTTACCACTGATTTTTAAGGGTGCCTCATGTGTCTAAAAAATTATTTGCAATCAGCCCATATGATTAACAAAACAGCTTTGCTACTGGCTTAATCACTGGCCATGGCGAAATTTAATCCTTTACATTGGAAGGATGGGAAATATCTCTTTCAAAATATTTTTTTTTAAATTAAGATTTGCCTAAAGGAGAAAGGAAAAGTGTGTAAATGTGTAAATGGGGAGGGCCAGGAAATAACAGGCAATTAGAAACAGTTAATATATAAAAGGAAATGTGAAGAGAACTAGTTTACTGAAAAAATCTAACCAGACTTGATTGTAAATAATTTCCACTGTAACATTAAAATAGAAAATAATAGCCCAGAAAAAAAAAAAAAGCTATAGAAATCCTCTAAGGAATAGAAATTCACTATAGAAAAAGACATGCTTGTTTGCTAGAAAACATTGTTACTGCCAGTCAGTGCTAGAAAACAAACCCTTTTGTTTTCATTGTTCCTTTCACCAGTAAAATCATTTACATCACCAACTCTCACAAAGAATCCAAACAGACAAAACAAAAATTAGGCCCAAAACCAGTGAAGACAAAGTGCTGTCTGCCTATCACATCAGACAGAGTTTGCCAGTCTATTTGACTAACAGGACCACTACTGGAAATAAACCTTTTAAATACAAGGGTTTCATTATTGGGACATACATTCCTCACAAGAACTGAAACTGTCTTTGAAACCAAGCTAGAAAGTTAACTGAAGAGAAAAAAACCACCTCAAGATTTCAGTTAATAATAAATACTGCTTTGCAGATAAGATCCGACAGGGGCCAAGCTTTCCTTCTAGAACACTTCAATGGCCAAATTAGCTGAACAACTCCAGTAAGAAAGTTCTCTTGCAAACCTTGGGAAAATGAACCAGTAAGGTCCTCTGAAACTTTCACACTGCATCTGACTATCAAAATCATTTTCTAATTTGGTCACATACATTAAACAGCTGCATAATTAAAAAAAACAGGTTTATGATGCTTTCAATTGTTGAACAGAACTTTTACCACCCACCTTGAAAATTATCAGGACCACAGCATATTACAATAATAATAATAATTATAAAATATGTTGTAATATTGGACTTCTCTGAATCAGCTATATATTATATTTTTGTAGATCCTACTTTAATCTAAAAATTGTATTCTGCCAATAAACAATTTCAATGAAAAAGCAGAATTTAAAAGACCCTCTAAGTTTCCATTTCATAACAAAAGTAAACTTTACTGTAAGGCCATCAAAGCATTTTTGACCATTACCAAGTCTTCCTGCATGAGGTGTCTCCTGCATGGAGAGAATCCAGTAACTATGAGTTATAGAATATGGAAGAACCATTTCATCTTTGATGGTCAGAATCACTGTGTTTCTAGAATAACTAGTTAAATTGTTTTCCTCAGAGGGAAAACAAAACAGTGACAGTTCCAGAAAAAAATAAAAAACTGCACGAAAACTTTTCTCCAACATCTGCAGTTCACCTCTAAATGGAATAAAGTTTGCTCTGTAGAGGCCCATAATCCTATGACCACACTAAACTTCACAGGAAGGATCAGGTTCTCAGTGTAGTCCTTAGTTTGAAAGCAGACTATAATTCCTGAAGCAATCATTTGTACCTTTACACCCCAAAGTCACAGGTTTGAGGGTGTCTGCATATATGCAGCCCTACATTCCTTTGATTAAGAAGCATAAAAGAAGACGCTTTAGAACACACACACAGTAAAGGTTGATAGACCAATACAAAATTAAAATCCTGTGTTTTTCACTCTTGATTGTGGTCATGAGAACATTAGCTTGCTTGTGGCATTCCTAAATATGTGGCAGAGTCTTAAGAACATAAACTCAAAAAAGTCTTAATCCTATTTTCTTGAAAGGGCCAAGAGCCTGAAACCATGACCCAAAAATGGGCTGGCTTACTGAGAAAAAGCATTCAAAACACTGCAAATAGGATTACAGTTTACCTTGCAACAGTATTCAATTATTTTAATGGCTGTATCAACCATCCCAACACAGACATTGTTACAAGTAGAGAAACTTGTGGAATTTCAAGATGTTAAGTGGTAAATCAATTGTAAGAGTAATACCCCTTTTCCACAACCACTGTCCCATAGCAGTCCTAGGCTTTCTGAAATGACTATTTATGAGTCTGACTCTGGGATAATAGAATATAAACCAAGTGGGACCACCTACCATATGAAAATATACACTAATTGAAAACATTAAGCAGCAGAAAAATTAAGAATTTAAGATGAGCCTCCACTCATTCAAGCCTAAGCTTTACAAAGATATCTTTATTTACTTAGAAATATGAAATGGTAAAATAAGCTCTCTCTACTTCAAGACTTTCTAATGAATTTTGTCAGCAGAAATAAAGATCATCTCTAACCAAGGCTAGTCTCCTTTATGGAAGCTAGCAGAGTAACACTGAGACAAAGTTGTACCACCCTCAAGACCTTCAAAGTTTTCCAAAAGTGTGTTTCAGCCCACTACAATGAAGAAGCATGTAACCTTTCCATAAAAGTGATGGACAGCTAGGCAAATTCAATAATTCTGATCAGAAACATCAAAGCAAGCCATTTGTTTCCAGAACTATGTCTCATATTAAAGGAGATGCAGGCAACACAACTACTGGACTTTTACTGTATTTGCATTAAAATTTTGCATTTTTTAGTAGAAAGTCTCTAGATAGTGACAATGAAACATAATGTTTACTGCAGTTATTAGCATACTCTATATTCTTCCATCATAAGCAATGCAAATCAACCTTAAATAAAAGGAAACTACTCTAGGCTTACCCCAGTCATCCCTCTCCCCTGGGCATCCCCAGCATCTCGTGGCCTTCATTTACAAATTTAAATGCACCTGCACTTAAGAACCAAGTTGGACATCTAAATTATGGCCTACATGAATCTCAAGTGCAAGTTACTTCAGAAAAACAACTCTTCCTCTGACAAACTCAGAGAGGTCAGAATGCCCCCCTTCCCCAACACGTTTTATGTCCAAAGAACACCAAGCACAGCAATGTCCCAGCCACGATCTCCAGCCAACCAAACACAACTGCAGGAGAAAATGACTGAGCGCTTTGCCCCAACACATCCTGCAGCCCAAGACAGCGACCCAGCAGACAAAGCAGTGAGAGCCAGCATAGAAACCTGCTGTGTATCGTACGTGGCTTCAGACACCCTAAGTGCACCAGGGAAGTTCAGGCTGGACATTAGGAAGAAATTCTTAACACAAAGAGTGATTAGATATTTGAATGGGCTGCCCAGGGAGGTGGCAGAGTCACCGTCCCTAGAGGTGTTTAAGGATGTGGCACTCAGTGCCGTGGTCTGGCTGACAGGTGTTCCAACAGGTTGGCCTCGATAATCTCGGAGGCCTTTTCGGACCCAGTCGATTCTGTGGAAAGGCACAGCCGCTCCCAGACCTGGGAAAGCGGGACTCCTGAGGCCACGAGAGGAAAAGCGACAGTGGGCAAGCCCCAGAGCCCGCACCCACCGCTCCCAGCTCACCTGGCAGGTACTCCGCCTCGAAACGCCGCCGGGTCTCGCTTATCAGCGCCGCCTTATCCTGCCGCTGCTGAAAGGAAACAAGGAACAGGAGGGCCGTGAAAGGAAGGGAAAGGCCAGGGCCCCAGAAAGCCCCAGACCCTCACCTGCACGGCAGGGCCTGGACACCCGTCCCGCCAAACGACCAACCCCGAGCGACTACGGGCGGCAATTTGGCCAAGACCAGCCAGCAGACGGGCGGGAGAGTGGCAGTGAGGGGGCAGGGGCGCAGGGACTCACCTCAGCCATGATCCAGCGGGTCCGCCCGCGCCTCCCGCACTGAGGCGGCTCCGGCAGCGCGAGGAGCGGCGGGAAAAGGGGATGGAGCGGCGCCCGGGGGGGCGGGGC